TGAAGGCTTAGAAAACTTATATATAAAGAAAGAAATTAAAAATTCATGACTAAAATTTCTCAAGTTTCTTTAAATAAATCAGGAATGTTTGATATTTCCTCTGGGGGAGAAAAAAAAAAGACAATATCTGGATACAAAAAATATCATGTTAGACTAACTGACAAAGTACATAGTTACAACATTCAGTTCTAATTAATTAGTCCATGATGTGTTGGAATGAAAAGCACTGAATGATTCTGATTCCTGTAAGAATGTAGAACAACCAAATAAGGTGATGGTTTTCCAGGCATTTTGGTGTTGCTCCTAGTATTTGGGGCTTTCAGTGATCACTAATTAGATGAGCACGAACTTTTATTAAGGAGCAGAGAGTGTATACTGAAAGACCCACCCTAAAATCTTTCGATAACAGGGTCTAAGAGTGCGACTTTCTGAACCTCACACTTAACCAGTACCGATATCTTTAATATCACCTTCATCTTTCCTTTAAGAAGAGCTGATCTGTAGGCAAATTCATTAAGTTGACAGTATCCATTCTGCTGACTGAAAGTGGAATCGAATGCGATTAATCTAAATATAGAAATAACTGCATGAAATACTGACTTAATCTTATGGTTGATATGCTCAACTGAATCTTAAAAGTAAATTTTTTAAGAACCATAGCTATTACCTAACAAGAAAAGTCTGTGGTATTTCAATATTTTTCAGCTAAATTTTTGGCAAAGCTTGTGTTCCGCAGAAGCATTCTATGTGAGAGCCCTTTCCCTAACAAAAATGTCTGACGTTTTCACTGACAGCTGCTTACTCTACACCTGCTCTAAGTTCTATGCGTGTCTGGAATTTGCTGTAGTGTTTGTGTGTATTTTGGCCTGAGAGCCTGTATCAGAGTCTTTTTATCTAGATCTATTGGGGAAAAACACAAAAAAAATGAGATTTGATTAATCTCTCTCTTTCTCTCTCTCTCTCTCCTTTTTTTTTTTTTTTTTTTTTTTGTGTTTGTGTGTGTGTGTGTGTGTGTGTGTGTGTGTGTGTGTGTGTGTGTGTGTCTTGAAACAGTGTCTCCCAGTATCATTATCTTGAATTAATGGATATTGTTGGTGCTTTCTTTGGTGCATAAGAAGGACTTCACTGCACTGCTGGCAGTGCTGTCCTTGATACATGATTAGAGTTATACCCTATTCTCTTGCATCCAACCCATAGTAATATCACATCCTTTACTTTTCATCTAGTTCCCGTAAAGTATAACCCATCATTTCAGGAAACCTTGTACAGCACACAGTGATGTAAGTATAGAGAGTTGTGATGTTTAGAACTGACATAATAAGCAAACTAATGGAATGCTCAATGCTGAGAAAAAAAATTTCTGACATTTTGAAAAACACTACTTTGTTTTGTCCTCTTTTTCTCCTTGGAGATTGTGGTAGAATAAATGAAATTCAAGTCAGCATATTGGGCTGATGACTGAAGAATAAAATGTTCTTTTAAACAATACTGCAAAGCAATTCCCTAAAACCAAATTACTCTCACGAGAAGAATTAGTCAGAAGAGTTACAGGTTAAAATACCAGTAGTGACACAAAATAAAATAATTTTCCTGTTGCAGCAAATAGGGGACTGTTTTATTTTATCTGAATTCTTTGATTTATATGTGAGACACAACCAACGGTGAAGTGGAATTTATTTAAATTTATGAACTTTAGGATCATACAAGCCATGGTTATGCTTTCTGCTGCCTGTGTCATGTCATTTTCCCCTCTGACAGTGATTTGGGAACAAGATCATACGGTAGAAAATATAAGACTCCTTTGACTCTTGATATTGATGCCCATACAAAAACTGTAATAGGAACATAAGTTACCAAACAGTAATTCCCAAACAGACATAGACTTGTAAGTTAAATATTCATTATCTAGAATACATGTAAAATAGAAATGTAGATGTAAATGACATTGCATTTTGTTAAAAAATTTTATTATTTATTTCTTATTCCCTGAAGCCTATCCTGAAGGCATAGACATACAAACCCAAGTCTGATGCTTGATTTAATCAAGACTATCACAGTAGTTCAGTCTCCGTGTGTGATGAAAATAGCTGCTCTAAAAAAAACCTCCACCTTTTGTTGATTATTTTCTTAATGTAGCTGCCAACAAGAATACTTGAGTACATGTATTTTAGGTTATGTTAGTTGCACCTCTTATTCATTTTCATTCTTCAAACATCTGAAAATCAATACACCAGCTGCATAGTATGATACATTTTATGGTTTAGTAGAAACAGCGATTCTGAAAGCTTTAGTAAAAGAAAGGAAATGATAATGCACTGAAAAATACAGAATTAATTGAGTTGGGTGGGATGGAGTGAGGTAAAATTCTTAGCTGAATTCAGAAGCAATGTTTTCTTGTGGGAATTGAAATCCTATTTAACATCCTCTGAAGTTCTCTCTGTGATTTTGTTTTTGACAGTCAAATCTATAAATTCATTGGGCAGATATTAGAGACCTGTTTCCAAATCATTTCTTAATTAAGACATCTTAAAAGAAGAGAATTAAATCTCTTGTTTCTACTTGAGCAATTAATTCACCCTCTCAGTGTTATGGGTGAATCATAATTTTAAAGATTTCATGATTATTCATGCGAACAAAAAGGCAGAAAAAATAAGTTAATTAATTTTTGCTACTTTGGAGAAGGAGAAAACTAAAAGGAATATATAGTTTCTCTTTCTCTCTTCTATGTACATCAATCTAGGTTTTCATTTTCCTTGCTTCTGTTTTAATGAAATTCAATATCATTTTCCTCTCTAAGGAACCAACCAACAATATTTCCAGCATTTTATCTGACTTATTTTGGGATATGTCTGAAGGAAAATGATTTTTACAGATATAATTACTTTTTCTGCATGTAAACTAGTTTTCTTTGCAGATTTAAGGTGCTCTGATCCGTGACACAGGGGAAAGATCCTAAGATTCAGACATACACCTATGAGGACTATCCAGTTGTATACTGGACCATCTGGAAGCCTTGGTTCTAGTACAAGCACTTTCAGGAGTATTATGTACATTACCGTGTGCTCCCAGTGAACAGATACAAGATTTTCTTCTCTTGAAATCTGAACCTCAGCTGTCTAGCATGCAGTGGATATTACACCTGCCAATGTTTTTAAGCAATGGGATTAGTTTGTACTAGGGTGGTTCCTCTATGTTGCTGGAAGCAAGCTGACTGTAGACGGGAACAGTTACTTCAGCCAAGACTAAGGCAGCTGCTTCAGTCCTTCAGTTCTACAGTACAATAGCTTTCAAAATTTCAAGAGCAATTTCTGAGGTATCTTATAGATTTTTATAAGAAGTCCACTTCAGCTGAGTCTACAGAGGCAAAGCAGAATGACAACACATGAAAAGTTGATATTATGTCAGAGCATAAGAATTTTACATATCCATACTGGGTGCAAGCATTGCTGTTATGAACATTTCAAACAATTTTTTTGAGCATGGTGTTGCACTGAAGGTCATTCATATAAGTAGTTTGCTCTGACACTGGAGCACAGAGCAAGGTACTGATAACTAAAAAATTTTTCTCACGAAGTTGCTCTTCATGACACTGATATAACTGCAAGTTTAATATTGGAAACTAACTTACTGCGTTGCTCAGATTATGGTTACATTTTCTTTCTTTTCTGAGTCGCATGACAGGCTAGTATAAGACTTATTAGTTCAAGGTATTTACTAAGTCTAGAGAGTCTTCAGCAAATAAGTTCTTCCTATTCTTATAAAAGAAATCATAAATAGTTATCTTGCTTCCTCCAACCAAATGACTCTTTCAGGAATAACCCAAAAGTTTTGCTTCGGAATATAATAAAACAATATCTTCTTTTACAGACAAAATGTTCCCTGGGGGCTACAGACATCTGAACAAATTCTAGGGATTGACCTCTATTTTGTACCTACTAACGCCCAAGCAGAATCTTATTGTCTCCATTTCTTTTCAGTCTTCTATCTCAGTACTGTTCTGCTATTTAAAGTCCTGTCTCCCCAGCGTGTGCCCTCCAGCAGCAAAGCTGCAGAGAGATTTGAATGCTGAGATGACTGAAGTCTGTGTGCTTCCTGGGAAAGAAGTTGTCCTCAGGCACTCTGTCGAGCTAAGAATACTTTTTCCAGCAAAGACTGTAAATAATGGAATTTTTTGCTGTTTTAAGGAGTTTTTTTTTCTCTATCTACTATTTATTTTGCTGATTCAAACCAGAATATTCAGTGTTGTGATTCCAAAGGAAACATTTTTAAGACAAATGTTACTATATTACAGGATTGATGTTTTTTTTGTTTGTTTGTTTAGCTGACTAAATAGTGCAACATTTATTAAATTAACTTTATTTATTAATTTAATTTAAATTAAATAACAAGGATATCACCTACTTTTCAATAAATATATTATTTATATGAATATATGTAATAAATTATTTATAGAATAAAGAATAGTAATATAAATAATAATATAATGAAAATATAAATAATGAATTATTTATATAATATATATAAATAAATATATTTATTGAAAAGTAGTTAATGTCCTTGTTATTTAAAACACTATATATATTTTTTTAATTTAGAGCATTTGTACAAGTTTGATTTACTGTTTATGACAGATGTGGAACTTCGGAGAACTTGCTGGGCAAATTTTATCTTTTGGAAGATTAATTTGATAGTACTTAACCTGGCACTTCTGCTCAGAATTTTTCCTTATGTTCTTGTGGCTTCACATACCTTCTGATTTCTCTGGCTATCTAAAATTGTAATACACAGAGTAGAAGTTATCAAAGTAAATTAAAATTACGAATCTTCTCCAAGTATTTTCCCTCATTTCTACACTAAACATAAGGTATAATGTATTTTTCCTATTAGTTCCCTTTCAGTATTTTATAATTTTTTTTCCTTTCCCAAGGAAGAGTCCTGCCCTTTGTGATCCTTGAAGACACTGAGTAATTTTATCTAATACTTCTTTATTTTATGTACAGGGATGGAGGTAGCTGGAAACTACAGAAGAATCTGTGCTGAACACAGGTCCATGGAGGCTATCTGCAAAATTAGCGTGCAAACTGGAGCAGCAGTGAGATGTGGTGTTGGATTTGTTATTACTTTCTTTGGCAGAAGGCATAGAGAAGCTACACTCTCAATAGCAGGTATGTGTTTGGGAGAGAAGTGTGTATGTGTTTTGGGGATGTAGGTAGCTGGGTAGTGGTAACAGAACTTGGCTATCCTAAAAAAAGTCAAAGGTCTTCCCTGTGCAAGTAGTTTCAACAGACTACATGAAGTAGAAGAGTGCAGTAACAGAGGAAGCCTGCAAGATAGGCAAGATCATACTACAATTGCACAGAAAAAAGACATGAAGATTAGCATTGAAAGTGAAAGATGTAAGTGTATTGCAAGGCAAACTAAAGTATGCCCTTATCTGAAGCAGGTGATAGAAACTGAATGTGAATATTTTAGTTCTTTACAGTGCTGAAGACAATCTACTGATGTTAACAACAAAAAAAAATCTGCCAATAATTCCACAGTGAACATCCTAAAATTTCCTCCCTGCTGGAGGGGTGAGTCTCCACAAGTCTCTCCTGGAGTGTTTGCCTTGAGATGGAAGGGTTTTCTGTTTTCTTGTCCTGCTTGCTCAGCCCTGCTTGTCCTTCATGTGCAGAATCTCCCCAGGGTCGCTGGCAGTCATTTTGCAGTTTTACAAACTTGGCAATTGACCTTCTTTCTAACCCAGGGCAAGGACTGCCACAGTTCCACAGGAGATAAAAAGCCATGTGCAGATCCACGTGTTCAAGAGCAGTGTCACTCCTATATTTCTGCTTGCTCAGGACTCCTCAGTATGCAGAGTATATGTATGACAAAACTTTGCTGTTGTTCTGGTCTGTTTATTTCCAGGAATGCAATCCAAAGCGGTCTGAGAACTGATCAGTGCTGCACTTGGCATGAACGTAAGGGCACATCTGTATACCTCAAAATTTAGAAAACTGTGGTGAGTAGATGGTCTTCAGATCTCTGGAGCAACACTTTCTCATCCAGAAACAGTCCCACTCCTCAGTTCCATTTCAGCTGTATGGGCTGGTGGCAATCACTGCTTAATTGGAAGGTCACTGTGCCACCAGCCTGTTCTTTGCCATGGCAAAGAGGCGAAGACCCAACCCGCTAATGAAAATGGGGCAGACTGGCCTATACTTGAAGGGAGAAAGTGCTGAGCCAAACATCTTCAATTTCTGAAGAGACAAAGTATACCTTTGCCAAGCTGTTCTCTAGGGAAAGCAGTCCACTTGGTATTTGTGGGGAAAACTGCAGTTGTTAAGGCCTATTTCAACAGTGACAACAGTTGAAATTTAGTAGCACTAGCTATTTACATAATAACCTGTGTTACCTGTATTGAAGAATTTTTTTAATCTGGATACTGGAAAAGACACAATGGAGTCTGATAAGCTCTATTCACAAGACTGAGATCAAATGCTCATCAAGGTATTACAGGTACATTTGATGCTGAATCAAATTAAATCTAGCAGTGGGGTGGTTCTTTGCTTTCTCAGACTAATAACCATGTATTTCTGCTTTGCTTGTCTGAGGGCTATATCTGTGGGTAAATGCCATAAAATAAAATTGCAGTGGTACACTTGTGAAGTGGATATCAATCAATCAGGATAATTAAACCTCTATTCTTCATTCTCCCTCAGTTTTATTTTTAATTTTTTTTTTTCTTTAGATGGATGTAATTGTATAACTGAGACTGTATAATGTGGAGCTTTAGGTGTCTATAATGTGTGTCTTAATTTCAGCTGGAACAGAATTGACTTTCTTCAGCATGTCTGAGTAGATACTGTGTTTTGGTTTTAGGAGAAAAACAGTGAAGGAAACACCAGCATTTGTAGCTGTTGCTGAGCAGAGCTGTACAGAGCCAAGAACATACAGTTTTCCCTGCAATCTTGCCAGTGAGGAATAGATCAAAGATGCTGGGAGTGGGGGACTGAGCCAACAACCACATAGAGCTAAACTACCTGTCAACTTAAACCACAGCACTTCGGAGAAACAAAACCAGCAGCTCCGATGATCAGAGCCAAGCAACCCTAGAATGTGCAAGAAGGTTCAAAGGAAGGAAATTAATGGTGGAAAGGCAGTACTCCTGGTAAGAAATTAGCAACACTTTGATTTCTTGGAGAGAGCTGGAGACTGTCTGTTCCGTTTGTGTGGAAAGGAATAGGTTTCCTTGTTATTCTTCACCTTTTGAGCAGGGTTCTGAGTTATCTTATCTTTGTCCGTGCAAACAATTGAATCATGGATTATTGTAGAGTTAATAGGTATACCATTTCTGGTCACTAGATGGAGGTAGGTAACCAAAATGAGGATGAATTACACGCAAATTTTACCTTTAACACTGTCGTCCTTTGGACTGCAAGGAATCTATTTTATCCTTAGAAATACTTCTCATACCGGCTTGCTTGAGAACAGCACGACATCAGTACTTGCCAAACCATAGGTCTGTATCAAGCAAAATTTATTCACTGCAGTCTGTTTTAAAATAGATATCTATATGCATGATATACATACACATATATATATATGTACATATGGTAACAGTTTGCATAATTTAATCTGAGGTACATTTTATTAGCAGTAATTCACTTCTACATTTAGACAAAGAAGAACATCATTTAGGTCATGTATGTTTATACACATGTTTGCAGAAAATTAATACATGATGTAAGGAGAGAAGAGTGATTTAAGAATATTTATTTAATGCCTTCTAGACCTGGAGTCAAGTACAAGAAGTGTTATGTACTCCTTTCTTTTCGGTAAGATCCCATTTCATCTTTACAGTTCATGCTACAGCTACTTGTTGCTTAGTTGTTGAAAGGATCAGTTTCTAGGGAGAGTGCAAACAGTCAGAGAAGGAACTCCTTCAAGCACTGAAGACAGCTACAAGGATGTCTTTCAACCTAGGACTCCTCTGTGCAGACCTGTATGACTGTGATAGTGAAGGAAGACTTGCTGCTGAAGCTGGTCTTTTGCTTCCTATGAGACAGATGAGAGCTACAGAGTTGCATTCTGAGCTTCTTGGGAAATACAGAGTTTAATTTTCTGATACTGTTCATGAAACTCACAGGCCTCTTTAGCTGAAATGACTGTTTAGTAAACATCCTGCCCTTTCAGAAACAGTGTTGAATATACACTGATAGACTAGATGTATGCGTATTTTTACCATGTTCTTGCTATAAATGGAGGTAAGGAGGACTGTGTACTGGCTGCAGGAGTATTCAGAGTCAGGTTTGCTGCTTTGATCAGACAGGCTTGTAAATGCAGTACTAGCATAATTGTAATAGTCCTTCTGTATAGTACTTTAGGAAAAGCTGCATATTTATTTATTTATTTATTTATTTATTTCCTTTGCTACGTCTCAGCTCTATCATATTTTTACATGGTTTCTGGGTTTCAGTCCAAAGCCTTTGCAAAGTTACTTTTCTTTAACTCTATTGTGAGAGCTCAGTTCTGATTTGGCCTTTAAATTCTGATTTGACCTTTATAAACCTCCACATGATGTGAAAACCATCTTATGTTCTTTTAATTCCTCTGAAGTGTTCTTTAAAAAGCTCAAAGTATTATTATTATTTCTTTAGGTCATTCCCCTCCATTTAGTTTTACTGAGGTTACCCTGAGTGTACCAGAGAATAGTAACTCAGATAAACTACTGTAGGTCTCAAACTTATCACTACACAGAATTTTCAAATAACAAAGCAAGTAAACTACAGCCTGTCATGTTAAGCCTCACTTTTTATTTCAAGTCAAATGTTCCCCCATTTGAAGACAAAAATACAGTATTGAAAACTCAAACTTCAAGTTTAAGACAGTCTTATCCGTTGATGCAGATACTCAACGCATTACCTTCACCAGCTGAGGGGCTCCTAAATATAAAAGCAGCCAACACTTAGTATCCTCTCCCACTCTGATAATTAATTTTCCATCCTGATATCACATTTTCTTCTATGATAATGATGCTTTGAAATGCTGGAACATGTCACCATCTGTGGTGTTTACAAGTTTGGAATAACACATTGTTTCATTAATACAATTTAATTCAACTAGTGTTATTGAGTTAATTATATTCTACATTCTGCAAATACTGAAAAGTTTCATCTGAAAATACTCTATTCTTACTTTTCTGGAGATATTTCTGCTATATTGCACTAAATCAAGGCGAAACCTTCCATTATTATTCCCACTGGGTTTGTTCACAGAAATTGATTCACTAAAAGAAAAAAAAGTAGTCAGAATGAGACTTCTCCCAGTTTAAGAACATCCTTAAAAATAGGGTACTGCCGGATAGAGTCTCAAAGCTATTCTTTTCAGGATAATCTAATTAGACTGGCTCCCTTACTATAGCTATTTCTGAACAAAAAACTAGAAGCTGTTGGATTTTTTTATGACTGAACAAGGCCTATGTGAGACAAGCATACTTTTAGCTGCTGCTTCTTTTAATAAAAGAAAAAATAATACAGGATTATGCAAATGTGTAAGCATGCACACGTAAATACTGAGTTAAATGCGTGAACTGCAAAGAGCAGAAAATTCTGTGATAATGAACAAAAATGACCGTAGTTACTTTATATATCTTTAAGGATGCCATTTGACTTCGAGTACCAGAGAGTTCTGAATAGGAGATTAAAATATCCATCATCTGTACTGCTTCTTCTTATATCAACAGGGTTGTCCTAAGCTCAGTTTCTGAAATTTTTTGGTTGTATGTGATGTTCAGACAGTAAATAGTCATCTCTCATACCTAAATTGAAGCACTCTGTTCTTGAAATTTCAGCCTGTTTTCTCATGCCACACATCTTTTTACAAGAGCAGGCAAAGCTGGCCACCAGGCCTGTGGCAAACATCCCATGATCCTGGGTAAATTACTGTTGCACCTGTCATCTCAAGTATGTCATGTATACAGCTTCTTGTACTTCATGTACACATACATGCATCAGGCTTTTTAATGAATTATCTTTCCTGTTTTATTTTGCATTTTGTAGTTGAAGTTTCATTGACCAAGAGGAGGACAGAGAATTCGTTGCTCTTTGTCCTAATACTTATATACTTCCAAAAGAAAAAAATGGTTAATCATGGATGAGACATCTCGCTCTCTGGCTCATCTCACAAATGTGTTGGTCAAATAATAACAAGTTATCAGTGGCTTTGAGCAGGGGGACATTTTTTATTTAACTGTGTGAACTGGGAGCTCTCAGTACATGCAAAGAACTATCACTGATATTTTACTACTAAGTGAAGTGTCAGCTGAAAGGTAAATCACAGTTCTTCTGCGATAAATCATAGTTTTGTATACTACTGTGGAAAGCCTCTTGGGGAACAGTTCCAGAAAGTTAATTTCTGAAAACAGCTGAGCACCTTCTTATGCAGTGTATCAGTCTGTGCCTACAAAGCCCTATCATGAATGTACTGCTCAGTGAATGTGTTTTCTAGGTTCACAGAGGGTTCTTTCGACAGAATGGAGAGGGAAAAAGCTTGTCAATCCAGTACTGTACCTGTAGCTAAGAAATATGCATATATCATCATTCTCTTTGATTTTAACCTGTTAAAAAAGGCTTACAGAAGAAAAATAAAATGAAATAAAATAGAATAAAATAAAATAAAATAATGAAGATGTTGGTAAAAATCTGCATAACATCTGATTTGTGAAGGTACTGTGCAGAGAACTAAGATAATTCCGAATGTCTGCATGATTCTTTACAGTATCTATAAATTCTGAAGGACTATTGAATGATAGCAATGTGAGAGAGAATAGAAAGCAATATATAGAATAAGTACTGCAAAGATAGCATCATATGAATATGAAATACTTAAAATACACTTGTTTGCAAACATTTTTGTTATTTCTTTTGTCTTCTTTTCTCCCTTGGAAATGCAAATGATACAAAAACTTAGACTTCCTACTGCCAAAATGTATCGTTTTGACTGTAACTTTCTTCTTTACTAAAGAATTAGAGGGAATAAAATTTTCTCTGGAAGCACAGTATGGTGTGTATTCAAATTTTTACTTTTTCTGGTGCAATTTGGAGATACCACTGAAACTCTAATCTGATGACAAGGCTACTAAGTAAATGAGATGGAATGGGACTGTAATTTCTAATAATTACAGTAGGGAAACATTTAAACTGGAAAGGTCTGTGTTACAAAAATAAATTTAAAATACTTAACGTTCTAAATTCTGTGATCTACCTGCAATGACACTGTCAAAGTTCAAGTAATATTATGCAACACATTAATAGTATTTTGGGATGATCTTTGCAGCATTCAAGATTTGGAATAATAGTAAGACTGCTTTACTTTAAGGAATAGTTTAAAATGAAATTGATTTCAGGGGGTGGTAATCTCATTAATTTGTAAGTAATATAAAGGTATGAGAAGAAGGAAAATATACTTTGACAAGCCATTGTAACACAACTGCAAAATCAATAGTAAGAATGATGTATGTGTTCTATTAGACCATGTTTAATATTAATAAACATTTCTGTGCTTCTGGTTTCCTGTACTAATTAATGAGGTGTCGCTAGAGAGTAGAGCACTGTGCATGGAGCACACTTGGTAGAGGAGAGGTGTTCTGACTGAAGAGAAGTAATTTTTGTGTGCATGTTATGTAAGTTCATCTTCATTTATGAAGTTTCATGATCTGAGACCTAAGTAGAAGTCCTGACTCAATTAGAAAAGGGTTTGACAGAAACTATATAAAGGAGGTAAAATGGTTGTCAGTGCAAGATATCTGCAAACAGAGACTTGAACAATTGGCATTTCTGTCAGGCAAATAGAGAGAAGGGTGCTGAACTATGACTCTCAGACCTTACTTGCTGGCCAGGTGTAGTGTTAGTACAAGCTGGTGCTGAGGAATGCTACTTCAGAAATTTCTCTATTGGGTTGTGTTGTACTTTGCAATCAATGAGGTTTCAAAGTCTAAATCTGTATGTAGAGAAGCATGTCTAACAGGCACAAATATAGCAAGATTTGCTAGTTTTCTAGTTTGGTAATACTAGCACATTTTCTTGCTAATTTATTGGTTCTTGTTTTTGTTCTGAAAGGGCACCTGAGTTTTCTTTTAGATTCACCTGAATGTAATCCTGCAGTT